GTATAAGAACTGACAAAAACAAGACAAGTACAGAAGTAAAGACGTTTGAATCAGTGTTTTTCCATTCTTTATCTGGATCTAAAAGCTCTAAAAGGTAAGAGTATTTTTCAATCTGAAATAATTATTAGTTCATTTTTTTCGGGATATGAAATATTGGCACACCCTAATAATGAGAGAAGAGACTATCTCCCTTACATAATTCTAGTTTATGCAAAATACATCCTGTGTTTAGACTTGGACCTCTTCAACTCTATATTGGGGTAATATATACAAATACACATATAACAATGACACATTTATCCAGTTTCATCAGAAGATTAGCCAGATAATTTAAGTTTATTCCTTCAGTTATCAAACTTTTGAAAATTCGAGTTAGCTTTTGACAAAACACTTCTGAAAATGTTTAACATATTTCACTTTTTAAACAACTTTCTCAAAAGAATATGATGTTTTGTGTTTTTTTTTCTTGTTAACCCAGGGCCATTATTGTAAACATCAATCATTGTATTATGGATTCTTTTTTCAATGCATACAGCTGCTTGCCCTGACTCTGTTTCTTCAGGCTGCCTATTCCTACTGTTAACCACCACTTTTCACAACTGTTCTGTTACAAATCAATAGGTTTTATTTTCATTCTTAATTCTAATCTGGTAGGGGATATCTTCACACATGGTTAGACAATTTCTTCAGTAACAGCTATTTTCTTCAGTAAACTTTTTCTATATATTTATAGGTCAGGGGTAACTTTTGATAGAGTAAAAAAATGTGATGTTGAAATTTCAAAAGAAGAGTATGTAAAAGATACAGAGCCATCTGTGGAGCCTTGAAAATAATTAAAATATTACGTATATCTTCCAAACCTCCTTCAAAAGGCAACATTTTATTTTTCTCACTTGAAAATAGCACACCACTATCCCTTCCTTCTCCCATAAAATGTAAATCTTAGTTGTTGCTGTATGTGACTCATTTCCCCTGTGAGAAGATTTTTGAAATTCTTTGTCTAGATAGTCCTCCAGAGTAGACTCAAGGTAACCAGGATAGGATATTTTATGACCAGAAATCCCTATAAGGGTAGTGAGAAAAAAATTCCCATGTGTGTCTGTGGTATATAATACTAGTGTTTAACAAACTTTTAATATAGTTAAAACCTGGGGTTTTTATAATATTTTTTATAGATTGCTGGTAGGATGAGGGAGTATTATAGTCTATTGAATGAGCTTTATCATCAGTTTTATTATGTTCCCTTCTCAAGTTAGAGGATTTATTTGTCTTTTAAAAGTCCTGATCGTGTTTTTCTTCTTTTAGGAATTGCAGAGAACAGGCTCCGAAAAGCAACACCCAGGGTATGTATTAATGGCTGCCTGACCACCATATTCAGTTAAGCAATGCTTTGCCAAAGAGGAAGGATGAAAAATTCTGGTTGCTTAATAGTCTGAATGAATTATGTACCCACAGAACTGGAAACAGAGCATCTTAATAATTATCAGTATAAGTTTTAATTTAAATTGTTTTTTTTCCTCCCTGTCTCCTGCCAGTGGGAAAGATACAAACAAAAGTTATTAGGAAATATTGGGTCCATTTAATTTACCTTGAACTAAAGCAATACATTCTTTAAGTAAATTATTATACAAGTTATATCTTAGTTAACACCATGCCATTAGTATGTTACTTTCTGGGTTAAGAGTAAAATCAGACTATTTTCAAATTAATTCATAACAAATCAAGTTTAATATATTTGGACAGGCTGACTTCTGTACATATCCGAAACTCAGATTTAAAACAAAAGTTTCTCACTCACGTCACAGTCCACTGAATCAGCAGAAGGGCTGTGTTTGCATTCAAGGATCCAGCTTGTTCTTGGCGCCTTCCTCCTCTAGCAGCCAGATCCTCTCCATTTGGCCAGCAGAAGGGAGTGAAGCATGTGGAGAATTTTGCAGATGGTTTTCATGGGCCAGGCCTGGAAGTGGCAGGAATCAGTTCTGCTCACATTTCTTTAGCCAGAATTCCATTACATGAACCATCTAGCCACAAGGGGCTAAGAAATGCAGTCTGTGTGGCTAGGAGGAATTTCTTGAACACATAATGGCCATCCTTTTGTTCACCAGATTCCCATTTCCTCTTTTCTGCCACACACAGAGCACTTCCCTCCTTCCCAGCAAGCCTACCCAAAGCCCCATCCAGTCACTGCATCCACATGCAGAGCCCAGGATCACTGAGTGATGGATGATATGGTGCCATCAGATCTCATGGATGTGAATGATCGAAGCTTAGTGACTGGTGCACTAAAACGACAAACTACCTATCCCAACTCATACCAACTATGTAGTGGCAAAGCGGGGGAAAAATAACCACAAGAAACACTCTCAGTGAGTTAAGGGAAAAATGAGAGGCACACAACACATCTACTGTCTGAACAAAAATTATGAAGGATCTGAGAGGAACTTGGTCTCCATGGTCCCGGGCTGTGTTCCACGGCCACATCTGAGGTGGACGTTCAGTATCATCTCCTTGGGGGTTGCCCCAAGCGACTGGTAAAAATATATGGTCCTGAAGACTGTTTAAAGTCTTAACAGTCACAGATTTTTTTTCAGCCCAAGCTTGTGATTTCTTTCACAGTATACTTTCCTCAAAAACTTAGTGCATTTCTGACCTCTTTGTTTTCAGTCAGTCCATCCATGAGCTAGTCACTACACCAAAACTTCTTTCCTGGAAGCTAATCCTCAAACTTGCCTTATTTATGCTTGTGGGGTTTTTTGTTGTTGTTGTTGTTTTTTGGTTTTTGGTTTTTTTTTCCCACCTCCACTATCATTCAGTGTCTGCTGTATTGAGACTCAGCTTTAGTTGGGAAGGCCATATTTTTTTATATCTCCTCCAGGGCTCAAATTCTATCGGTCTTTACTGCTTAAAATTTTTCTGTTTTATCTCTTACTCTTTGTAGTCCAAAGGCTTTTCTAAACCTTAAGTCCCCCAGTATCTTGACTCTGTCCCCTTTAGTTTCTGCCTATTATGTATAGTAGACTAACAAATAACTACCAAATCACAGTGATTTTATTTCTTATTCAACAGTCTGTCTGCTCCTCGCAGTCCTTTCCATCTTGTGCCTCTAGGAGTTCTCGGAGTTCTCTTTGTTCGTTGGGAAAAGAGAATAGAGGCTTGAATGTGAGGTTTTTATGATTCGGCCTTTTATTCACATTCCATTGGCTATAACTCAGTTACATGGACTCATCTAGCTATAGCGCAATGGGAAATACATTCTGATTGTGTACCTAGAGGGAAAAGAAAACTAGGATTGGCAAATACATGGCAGTCTGCCTCATTACCATGTATTCACAAATGCAGAATAGCTCGAAACTTAGGGCACTCCCACATTTTTCCAATATGGAGACCCATGTAAAAGTTTTTATTTTTGCTTAGCTTACATATTTATAATATTTATCAATTTATGTGTGCAAATTTACATAATTGTTTAAAATATATATTGGCTTAGAAATATTGCCTTATTCAAATCTGAATCTTCATGAAACAGTTTTATTTAACATTTACACCCTCCATTCTTTTATCACTAGAGACACTTTTTGAGAGCTGTAAGTTTCTAGAGCACATTTAATTTGTATAAGATATGGGACATTTTGACTCTGTGTACAGTGATGTTTTGGAAATGTTATCCCAAACTGTGTACACTTATGCCATTTGCTATTCAAGGAGATCTTTAAAAGGCTTTTGACGATGTCTGATGTTCAATGACGAAATTATGCCCCCCTGGGACTGCTTAAAACATCTATATTAAGTTTTTGCCTCCCTTTTCTTTCTGATTATAAACATGCATTTATTCATGTCTTTTCAGGCTAGTATGTCTTCCCCAAATAGTACTTTGTTGTTCATAATGATGCAATTGAAGTGCTTCAGAATATAAGAGTCTGTAAGGACTTGAATACAAGTTGCCACCCTGATACCTGGTGGATAAATTTATGACCAAAACAGAACTTTGTCATATACCTAAGTAGGTTTAATAATTTACCTTGTAATAATAACTTTTTGTTCAATAACCAGAAGGGAGTGCAATCATTAATAAGCCCTTTAAAAAGAAATCTCTCCCATCAACATTGTCAGATCCAATATCTTAGTAAGATACACAATATCTTGTGTATTTTCTGGCTACATTTGCTTCACACACAGATACTATAAGCAGATGATACTCCTTTGAAACTATAAAATCCCATCCCCGCCCCTTTTTTTGGCCTTCCATATTGTCTGTGCTGTTTCCTTTTTTATTGTCAATGTAAATAAGATAGCACAGCATATTATTAGGTAGCACACATTAAAAATCTGTTTACAAGGATAGAAAGGATGTGTCGCAAAATTGACTGCTCATAAATATATTTCAACTTCAAGCTGTTCCCTGTTGAACTCAGATTTTAAATTGTTAGGTATTCCACTTAAGTAAAATTACATTTCTTCCTTAATACTGATTTGAGAAAATGAAATATATATTTTTTGTATGCTATTTGGGTATATAGTTAGTTTTCATGGGTTTTGCTTTCTTCTCTCAGGTTTTCAGCAAAATGAACCTCCGTTCAAGAATCAGTTTATTAAGAGTGCACTGAGAGGACCTGAAAACCCAAAACAGCAGTCACTGCTGCCCCT